TTTGCTGAAGAAAGTCGAACCAATGATAAATAAAACAAATACATGCATGCATGAAGCTATACCAGCTGGGGAAAGGTTAGCAATTACCCTGAGATACCTAGCAACAGGTAAATATGACCAATTTGTAAGGTTTGGTTTTAATTGGAAATCAATAGCAATGATAGGACTCATAGTACCATTATTAATCCTATGGTTGACCTTTTTTTTTTCTTTCATGTTTATAAAAAAATGGTTTGAAAATTGAAATTCTTTAATATTTTTTATGTGTTTCTGGTATCTTGTAGCGGTTACACAGTCAGGGGTTTTATGATTTGAATCCAATGAGAAAGTAAATATATTCAATGCCAATTATTAATCTATTTTAAATCATTTGTATGAGCAAGTGAATTNAATTGTAACCGAAAATATTTATTTAATCAACATTGATGGGATTCACCTTAAAATGTTCAAGATATGACTTATTTGAGTTTGTTAATTTGGTTATGAGTTTTTTTAAAAAATTGAGCCACCAGCTTATATAATCGATATAAGTACTGGTGTATTTGACTGAAAAAAAAATATTTTTATTTATTAAAGATTTGCTATCAATTATAATTTTGTTAAACACTTCACAACCCTTTGCTTTCATACAGCAAAATATTTGTGTGCTATATAAATATATTGATATTGTTTAATTGTAATTCCAATTTTTTTTTCTTAGGGGAGACTCAAAGTTCTCTAGCTTTCCAGTTTAGGGTGGCACAAAACACCATATCTGGAATAATTCCAGCTGTTTGCACGGCTATTTTCTCTGTGTTAAAAGAGGAAATTTAGGCTCCAGATAACTCGGAAGAGTGGCTAAAAATTTCTGACGAGTTTTTATAGATCGTGGAATTCTCCCAACTGCATTGGAGCGCTCGATGGGAAACACATCAGCGTTGTTCCTCCGCCCAATTCTGGATCACTTTATTATAACTATAAACATTTTAATAGTATCGTACTTCTAGCCATGGTGGATGCCAATTTGAAATTTATTTACGTGGACATTGGTACCAATGGAAGAGTTAGTGACGGTGGAGTTTTCCACGAAAGTACTCTGAAAAATAATATTGAGCAAAAAAACCTAAACCTTCCAGGGTGGCAGTTTCTCCCAGACACAGAGGAACCTGCTCCTTTTGTGATTGTGGCAGACGACGCCTTTCCCTTGGAAGAGTATCTTCTAAAGCCGTATCCGGGGAAATTCCTGGATTTAACGTGCAGGATATTGAACTATAGGCTGTCTAGAGCTCGAAGGGTATCGGAGAATGCGTTTGGCATTTGGGCTTCTCGATTTCGCATTTTTCAAACTCCGATTTTGACAGGTCCTGCTAAGGCAAAACAAATTATTTTGGCTGCATACTCACTGCACAATTTCTTGAGGTCAAGATGCTTTGAGCTGTATTCTCCGATACCCTGCTTAGATCGATAAGACCTAGCCCAAAAGAAAATTCTCCAAGGCAGCTGGAGAAATGATACAAAACCTTTAATTTCTCTGGCTAAGGATGGGAGAAAGGGGTCCTTTGTTGCCAAGGCAATCAGGACAAATTTTTTTAATGGGTCTGGTGCTGTTCCTTGGCAGGAGGACATGTGCGATTTGCACTAAATCTATTTTACATGCAATTGTATCACTTTTTGTACCAAAAATATTTTTCATCGATTTCCTATTTTTTAAATGAAAGCATAAAACTTTCAATATCGTCAATATGTCGAAATTTTTAAAAATGTTAAATTTTTTATTATATTACAAAATATTATATTATATTTATAATATTACAAAATTTTTTGTTTCTATGAAAG